ATCAATCAATCACTTTTCAACTTCCATTCCTCTTCGCAAGTGCTAGGGAGCGCCGCGAGCTACTGTTCTCCTCTTCGTCTTCGCCTCTTCGCCTTTCCGGTTCTCTGCCCGTTCGCTCTCCCGGTCCTTGCGTCGGCTTGTGTTACATAGAAGTACTTGTCGTTCCAAGCTTCGGTTCAAGTCAAGAATGGTTTGCTCGTGACCACATTGTGGGAAGCGAGTATTACCTGTGGGTTTTGGAGCCAGCCACACAGTTGGGAAGCTCTTAGCTGCGAACGTGCTGATCATCTGGTACGCTCTTTGTGAGTCGTAAGCCACTACGCTCCTCTCAGGCCGGTGGAAATACCACGAAGGGACTTTGTCTCCACCAGGATAGGAAGTGTCGTACGCTCCTTAGTTGCGTTGGATTGCCACTAGAAGTCGGTTTAGTGTCAAGGTGCTTTCACTGTGTCTGCTCACGCTGAACGGTGTTGAAGCAAATACCATCCTTGGCTACCCGGTGGCTTTCCTTTGCCTTTTCGTCTACCCACCCGTTTGATCTATGGTCCGTTTCAAAATAGGTCACAGTCAAAGCAGTAAAAACAGAGCAAGCGGAACTTCTCATCGACGTCAACGCCAAAGCCCGCTCCTGAGCCAATTGCTGCTATTGACAAAGATCTTATTTGGGGACTTGGTGACTCCGCAAAGTTCGATAAGTTGCAAGTCGACCTCTTGAATCAAGTCAAAAAGACTAAGCGAATTCTTGCCCGTTTTCGCAAAGAGACGTGGACGATTTCAAGTAGACGAGGTCGAAAGCAACGTTAACGGCGTTTTAAACAAGGCGTACCTCAACCTACTAGATTGCGAAGACAACATTGGTGTCAAGCTTAATCGTCTTATTCGCGTAAAGCCAAACCACCAACAAGCCATAAAAAATACGTTTGAGCTTCTAACTACGCTTCCCGTTTAATTGTTCCGTTTTACGGGTCACTCACCGAAAAGCCCGCGAATCCTACCCCTTATGCCTGTGACAAGGAGTAGGGCGAGTGAGAGTGAATCGCCGAACCCACGGCCGCGCGAAGTGCCGCGGGACGAGTAAACGGAAACGGCTACGCATCAGGAAGCTCGCAGTGATGTACCAACGGATGGAATGCCAAACCCCGCACCTGAAACGATGTCGATGCAACAGTTGATGTTATGGATTACTCAACAGTAACAAATATACCAAAATCAGATGCAAAACCATGTTTCAGATGCAAATGCAACAAGCGAATTGTCGGTTTGAGTATCTTCTGGCTTCACAAGGCTCTAGACGTAAAATGGATCCTCCAACATATGAAGAGAAGTTTGGTGAAGACTCAGAATTGTGGATCTTTTCCACAGAAGAATACTACGCCAACAAACGAGGGCTGATGGAAGCCGATACGCCCGATTTTGTGACCATGAGCTCAAGTAGTTTAGGCAAGTCTGTACTTAACTGGTATCGAGCTTTCTCGTCGGATTGTGAAGCTGCAACAACATCTCAGACCTGGAAACTGTTCAAGTTAAAATTGCGGGAACATTTCCGTCCTAAGGACTTTGAGTACAACGTACGTGAGCGTCCGCTTTAGTTGAAGCAACAAGGAACTATCTGTGAGTATGTAGCTTCGTTTCAAGACTTGATGTCTCAATCTGAACTAGAGATTTCTGAATTGGAGAAGCGGTTCTTCTTCCAGAATGGGCTTCGGGCTGAAACAGCTAAGAAGGTGAAAGAATTGAGTCCAAGCCTCTTACATGAAGTCATGAGATTGCCACGAATTTTGAGTTAGCTCATTATGAGGGGGGCAGTCTGCAAAGGTCAATACGGGTCCAGCGACTTCAAAGGCATCTACAAGCTCTAAACCACCCCTCGGGAATCCGAAAACGTCGATAGATCGCAAAAATACTTCATAAGATGAGTGGACTAACAATGCCACTTGTCATAATTGTGGGAAGCTTGGTCATATCAAGCCGCAATGTAAAGCTAACAAGGAAATCAATCATTATGTGAGTGGGTCGTTCTACGCAATTCTCGAAGTAAGTGCGTGGGCTTCGAAGCAGTCGTAACCGCCGAGTGCAGTGTTAATTTTTGTAACAGTCTAAACGGAGTCACAAAAGAATTAGCGAATCAACTTCAGCTGGACATTATTAAACATCCAGACGACAGGATGACGGTTAGGTTGGGCTACAACCAGACCGTACAACGTCCAAAGCGTACAGCCGAGATGAAACTCCAAGTTCCTGATTTCCCGGAAACGCGTGAGACATTCACGGTCATGCCTGTCCCAGAAGGAAAAGACGTCATGCTGGGAATGGAGTGGTTGCGAAAAAACAATCCTGACATTGATTGGGAACGTTTGTTGTTGCGTCCTCGAACCACTACCCAGGAACCACCTTTGTAGTTGGTTCTTTCTAAGCGTCCTCCCGCTCGTATGATAGGGGGTCGTCATTTCAAGAATACTCGTCAAGACCGTGCGATAATGCATTACAATAGACAGCATGGCCATTCGGGATCATTTGGTGAGACAAAAATCATATCGTCAAAGCTTCTTCTCAAAGAACTACGCAAGGGCAAGGGCGTCGAAGCAGTGTTTGCTGTTAATCCACACGACTCTGACAAGGTCGAACGTTTAAGGCAACAAGGATGGGACGCGCCAGTGGACAATCCAGCGTATGACGTCCTGGTCAAGTACCGCGATACGGTGTTTCGCACTGAACTGCCTAGCTCGACCCCTCCCGTTCGTGAGGGTATCGAACGTGAAATTCAGCTCCACCCTAGAACACAACCTATTTCGGTAAAACAATGGCGCCAAAGCCCAGAACACGCAAGGTGATTCAAGGCTGGACAAAAGAGATGGTTCAGGCTGGAATAATTCGTCCCAGCACATCGGCATATTGTGCGCCTACGTTTTGCGTTAAGAAACCGGTTGGCTGGCGCATTGTCCACGATTATCACCTACTTAACAGTGCAACTATTTTGCCTGCTATTCCAATGCCTAGGAAGGATGACACGTTCGATGCGATGGGCGGTAGTTATTGATTATCCTGCATGGATCTATTGTGGGGATACTATCAAGTCAAACTACATGAATCAGATATTCCATTTACGGCGTTTTCGACGCCCGACGGTCTTTTTGTCGTCGCCCGACGGTCTCTTTGAGTATCTTGTCACTCCGATGGGTTTGAATGGAAGCACGGGCACGTTTAACCGTTTGCTACAGCGTGTTTTTAGTGCCTTGTGTGATGGCATGCGCATATACTTTGATGACATTTACGTGTACACGCAAGATCAAGATGTCCAGAAGCACGTAGATACTCTGTATCAAGTGCTTATGCGCTGCCAGGAACAGCTATTGTATGTGAAGCTATCAATGTGCCAACTTTGTGTTGAAGAAATCCTTTGCCTTGGTGACTTCGTTGGCCATAACGGTGTGAGCATGGATCCAGACAAAGTTCGTGTTATAAAGGAATGGCCTGCACCACGGACCAAGAAACAGATGGAAAGGTTTTGGGTACGACAGTGTATCTCTCGAGGTTTTGTGCTGATTTTGCACAGTTGCAGATCCATTGCATGAAAGTACTAAGGGTGTACGCCCGCAAGAAGCCTTACATCTTACCGATCATCAACTTGAGTGTTTCGACGAACTTAAACGTCGACTTTCAACACCTCCAGTCTTACAATTTCCTGATTTCAACAAACCATTTGGTATCCGCATGGATGTCTCAAAATTTGCCATAAGGGGAGGTTTTTTCAAAGCGAGGGAGATTGGAACATCCAATTGCATATACAGGTCGGAAAATGAAACCTGCAGAACTGAACTATCCTGTCTGAGAACAAGAACTGCTAGCCATCATGCATGCACTTCGAGTTGGCACGTATATCTGCATGATCACCCATTCACAATCGAGACTGATCACAAGAGTATTGAGAATATCTTGACGCAGAAGATAACAAATCGTCGTGTGGCTCGATGGTTTAATGAGCACGCGGAATTCCATACTTAATTCAAGTGGATACCTGGCGACAGTAATCAGGTGTCAGATGCAGTGTCTCGAAACCCATTGTTTGAGCATAAGGCCGGGCAGGTTAGCCTAAGTGAGCTAATTGAAGCGGCGCGCAACAGGGAAATAGTTGCCGGTATCCAGACTTCAAGAGTTACGGTACCACAACAACTTTACTCTACGGACATTCGTGTTCAGGAGATATTGCAGAGTATGCGTAGTGGTAAAGAGGTACCACGATATTCTGTGAACAATGGAGTACTTTACTACCAGACACGCGATGATGTAAACCCGCGACAGGTGATTCCGTTTAGTGAAGATCTGAAGAATCGTGTTATTTGTGAAAACCACGACGTGGTCATGGCAGGTCGCTCTTGGTACTTCAAGCCATACTTATGAGTCCAGAAGAAGTTATACTGGCCCACGATGTCAAAAAGTATATACAGCGCTATGTGAAGACATGTGAGCTTTGCCAGCGCAATAAATCACGCCAAACAAAGCCCCCTGGACTCCTTCAGCCATTGGAGATTCCTGAAGGTAGATGAGTTGATATTTCGATGGACTTCATGACTGCGTTACCTCGAAAAACAACTGGCAAAGATGTCGTTATGGTTATCGCGGACCGCTTGACGAAACGCGCAAAGTTTATCGCAACCAATACGACAGCAACAGCAGAAGATACTACTACGCTGTTCATGGTCAACTATGTAAAAGACCATGGAGTTCCTAAATCGATTATTTCGGACAGAGATTCAAAATTCACATCTAAGTTTTGGCAAAACGTGATAACGACACTAGAAACGACACACCAACTATCATCTGCATTTCGCCCGCAAACCGATGGCCAGACCGAACGTACAAACCGGTTTGTCGAAGACTACCTACGACGTGTTGTCAACCCCGCCCAGAATGATTGGGATGAATATTTGCATTTAGCAGACTTTGCCTACAACCGACGTGTCCACGCATCGATCGGAATGTCACCGTTTGAGGCTGATCTGGGTTATGTGCCCTATATGCCTGATGATGTAACAAGGGACCCAGAAATTGATCAGCTAAACAAGACAGCTCAAGAATTTCTTGTGAAGCAAGGTGCACTTTTGAAGATGGCGCAAGATGCGATGAGTGAGGACCTGAAGCGTATGAAGTCGTACTATGACAAAAAAAGACTTGCTCAGCACTTCAAAACGGGAGATTTAGTACTCCTTGATTGCCGAAACTTGGATATTTGCCACAAAAGGTTTGCTCAGGCAAAGAAACGTGCACCAATGTTTATCGGACCGTACCCCATTGTGAAGCAGGTTCAGAAAGACTCGTATGAACT